GATCCACCCGCCTCGGCCTCCCAAAGTGCTGGGATTACAGGCTTGAGCCACCGCGCCCGGCCCAGGTTTATTCTTGAATAGGCAATACATTATTCAGAATTTGAAAGGAACAAGTGGAATGCAGTGGAAATTCTCCCTCCCATGCTTGTCTTTCCCAGTCATTTAGGCACTCAGTTTCTTTCCCCATAGGCAACCAGTGTTATCAGTTTCTTACAATTCCTGTAATAGGTGTTTTGAGTATATGAGATTTATTTATATTGCGTAGCGTGGTGGCTGGTACCACTAATCTCAGCCACTCTGGAGGCTAAGGCGGTAGGATCACTTCAGCCCAGGAGTCTGAGGCTGCAGTGAGCCATAATCGCACCACTGCACTGCAGCCTGGGTGACTAAGCGAGACCATGTGTCTTCAAAAAAAAAAAAAATTATTTATATTAATTTGCTATATTGTTGGAATAATTGAAACATGTTGGTCCACTGTGGACTCTCCACATTTATGTCTGTTCATTCTGTGAGTCTTAGAGCAATGGGTTGTCTCAGGTACAGAAACTCTTAGCCAAGAATTCTCAATCTGAATGCAGTTGTTACCTAGCTTTTTCTATGATTTCTTGTGATAACTCCTGATCTTCCAACTATCTTTCTATCTTAATTTTCTCCTATATAGTTAATGTTTTGTTCCTGGCTCGCCATATGATTGGCTCTTTTTTTACGTTCTCATTTTTGCCGGAATGATAAACTTGAATTAGTACATCTGTGAAGAGCTGTTTGTGTCCTGTCTACTCTCTGGTTATTGCTCCTCTGCCCAGCTCTAGCCCTGGCCCCACTGTGAGGCACGACTTTCATATCTCATGGCTCTTAGCTGGGCATCTGGCCAGGCCATCGTGGTTTACGATCCATTGGTATAAAGTAAAAATTTCTTCTTTACTTTAAAAAATAATTTCCTCATAATAAGCACTTGATTGTGCTTATGTCTGAAATTAGTATTTTAATACTAACCTGTAAAAATTTTCTGTGACTCCTTTGAAATAATAAACCATAGGATGGAGTTAGGAACCCATTATAACAGTAACAAAAAAGAATAAGCTTAAGACATGAATAAGGTCCATGCAGATAAAACTTTTTAAATGTTATTGAAAAAACTTGAAAAGGTACCATGCTCTTAAGTAGGAAGGTTCAACATCATGTTAATTCTTGTAAATTAATCTATAAATTCAACTTGATTCTTACAGAAATTATGAGGGGGGTGTGTGTGTGTGTTTGTGTGTGTGTGTGTGTGTGTGTGTGTGTGTGTGTGTGTGTGTAAACCACTCATGCAGTTTCTGAGTTCAGTTGGATAATAAACCTTGTAGGAAAAGCCAGTAAAACTCTGAAAAAAGAAGATTGAAGGGCAGGTATGATGATGTTAGTTCCATGAAACCATATTGCAGACTGTGGTACTTAAAATAGAATGCTACTAAGTTGGATCATGAACTGGCAAATGAATCAATAGAACCGAATAGATAGTCCAGAAATAGACTTTAATGTGTATAGGAACAACTGGCAGATACCTGAAAAAAAGTATAGTTGGATTCTTTCCTCATATTTATAATCAGAATAATTTTCACATAGATGGGAAGTACAGACATTAAAAACTGCAACCATAAATTACTAGAAGAAAACCTGGGATAATTTCATTATAATCTTGGACGGGCCAGGACCTTCTAATTATGCTAGTTCAAGTTAGAAAAGACTTGAAGGACCTATATAAGTGAAAAGCTATGCCAATGGATTAGAAGACATACAGTTTTTCCCAAATATATTTTGTTTTGCAATACCAATCAAAATCTCAGCATGTTTCTTTTTTTTTTTTTTGAGATGGAGTTTCACTCATGTTACCCAGGCTGGAGTGCAATGGCGCGATCTCGGCTCACCGCAACCTCCGCCTCCTGGGTTCAGGCAATTCTCCTGCCTCAGCCTCCTGAGTAGCTGGGATTACAGGCACGCACCACCATGCCCAGCTAATTTTTTGTATTTTTAGTAGAGATGGGGTTTCACCATGTTGACCAGGATGGTCTTGATCTCTTGACCTCGTGATCTACCCTCCTCGGCCTCCCAAAGTGTTGGGATTACAGGCTTGAGCCACCGCGCCCGGCATCTTTAAAAAAAAAAAAAAAAAAAAAAAATGAAAATACAAACAGCTAAGAATACCAATGCATTAAATTTTTTTTTTTTTTTTTTTTTTTTTTTTTTTTTTGCAGGGTGCAGGGATACAGGGTCTTGCTCTGTCACCCAGGCTGCAGTATAGTGGGATGATCATGGCTCACTGAAGCCTCAACCTCCCAGGCTCAAGTGCTCCTCCCACCTCAGCCTCCCTATTATTGCTAAGGTTACAGGTGTGCACCACCATGGCCAACTAATTTTTAAGTTTCTGTAGAGATAGGGTTTCTCCATGTTGTCCAGGCTGGTCTAGAACTTCTGGGCCCAAGCGATCCACTTGGCCTCCCAAAGTACTGGGATTACAGGCATGAGCCACCATGCCTGGCCTAAAAAAATTTTTATTATGGCAAACCTAAAAGCTGTTCAAAAGTGGACTGAATAGCATAATGGACCCCCATGTACTCCTCACTTAGCTTCAACTGTTATCATCTCATGGTCAATTTTGTAGGATGTATATTCTTTTATTTTTTGTTGAGACAGGGTTTTGCTCTTGTTCCCCAGGCTACAGTACAGTGGTGCCATCTGGGCTCACTGCTACTTCTGCCTCCCTGGTTCAAGCAATTCTCCTGCCTCAGCCTCCTGAGTAGCTGGGATTATAGGCATGCACCACCACGGCCAGCTACTTTTGTATTTTTAGTAGAGACGAGGTTTCTCCATGTTGGTCGGGCTGCTCTCTAACTCCCGACATCAGGTGATACACCTGCTTCATCCTTCCAAAGTGCTCGTATTACAGCTACTACACCCAACCTAGGGAGGAGACCACTCCTCCCCCTCCTCTATTATTTTGGGTCAAATCTCAAACACCATTAATTTTATCTGTAAATTTTAAGTAAGTACTTCTAAAACAGAATACTCTCTTTAAATAATAAGCAAAATTCCATAATTATACCTAAAAATAACTAAATAGAAAATACATTATAAATGATTGATTCCCCCCCCCATTTGTCATTATTCCCCAAATTAATGAGTTGGTTCATTGGCATACTTCAGTGGTTACCAGTTCTGTTTTTAATTTTTAAAAATGATCAGTATAAACTCATAGATTTAAATATATTTGATATTCTAGTATATTGTAGTTGTCATTCTTACCGGCCAATTTTTGACCAGTGTGAGCCTTTTCAAGTGAACTCCTGAGTCCTTTTTATACAGTCCTGGTGGTTTTTGATAGCTTCTTCAGTGTATGATTTGACAAGATGTTTCAGACTTATCTTGTATATTTCCTGTTGGTCATGAAATCAGCCATATCAGTATTCCATAGAAAGAATCAGTATTGGTTTTCCAGATATCAGAAGGATAAGGGAAATATTGTAAACAACTATACGGCAGTCAAATCAGTATTTTCAATGAAATGGACAATTTTTTCAAATTCCATTTTTAATTTTTACTGGTACATAAGATATTTTGATACGGGTATACTATGAGTAACAATCACATCAGGGTAAATGGGGTATCTATCCATTACCTCAGGCATTTATCCTTTCTTTCTAGGGCTTTATTTCTTATATTGTTAAGCATCTTAAGGTGTCTTGTCTGCCAGTGTCACAGACACAGCCAGGAACAGTATGTCCTGCATTTAAAATACACAGTCCCTTCGTGACTCCTATCATGCCTTTCTCTCTTGAGATTGTCCCATTCTGCTCCTAACCAGGGTCTTATATTTACTGGTTTATTATAAAGGATATTGTGAAGGATACAGATGAAGAGATGCATAGGGAAGGTATGGGGGAAGGGCACTGAGCTTCCATGCCTTCCCTGGGTGCACCAACTTCTAGGGACCTTCACATGTTTAGCTGGAAGTTCCTCAAACCCTGTTGTCTTGAGTTTTTATCCAAATTTCTTGAAAGATATACAGACTATTAAAGCTTCCTTAAGAGGAAATAAATAAACCTATGTCTATTAAAGAAATTGAATTTGTAGTTAAAAACTCCACCCCTCTCCGACATCCCTTCGGCAGAAAATAAATAAAAAGAAATTTTTTTCTTTTTCTTTTATTTGTTTTTTTTTGAGATGGAGTCTCGCTCTGACACCAGGCTGGAGTGCAGTGGTGCAATCTCAGCTCTCTGCAACCTCCACCTCCCAGGTTCAAGTGATTCTTCCACCTCAGCCCTCTGAGCAGCAGGGACTATATTTTTTCTTTAAAAAAATGAAAATACCTGACCCCCCAAAAAAAAAAAAACTAAAAACTCTAGTCCCAGTTGGCTTCACTGGTGAACTCTAACAGATATTTTAAAAAGAAATAGTATAATTCTAAACAATTTCTTTATTTTTTTAGAAAATAAAAGAAGTATACATTTTTTTTGAGATGGAATCTTGCTCTGTCACTCAGGCTGGAGTGCAATGGCGTGATCTCGGCTCATTGCAACCTCCACCTCCCAGGTTCAAGTGATTGTTCTGCCTCAGCCTCCTGAGTACCTTGGGGTTACTGTTGCGTGCCCCCACCTGTCTGATTTTTGTATTTTTTAGTACAGGCAGGGTTTCACCATGTTGGGCAGGCTGGTCTTGAACTCCTGACCTCGTGATCTGCCCGCCTCAGCCTCCCAAAGTACTGGGATTACAGACACGAGCCACCGTGCCTGGCCAATTTCCTTATTTTTTAGAAAATAGGAGGGAACACTTGCCTATTTTATAAAGCCAGTATTACTTGGTACCAAGACTGTACATTATAAGAAAAGAGAACTTCACACTGTATCCTTCGTGAACAGAGACCCCAAAACCCTAAACTAGACATTAGCAACTTGCATCCAGCAGTATGCAAGAAGAATACATCATGACTAACTGGGATTTATTCCAGAAATACAAGGCTGTTTTACCATAAAAAATTGGTCAGTGTAATTTTCCACACTGACAGACTAAAAAAACAACCACCATATTATCTTATCAATAGATTAAGAAAAGGCATTTGGCAAAATTCAATGTCCATTTATAATAATAATAAAAAATCTCAGCACTAGGAATGGAACTTCCTTAACCTGATAAAGGACATCTTCCCCAAACAGCTAACATCCTACTTAATATTGAAAAAATGAATACATTCCCCCTAAGATTGGGAATAGACAAGGTTGTCTGTTCTTACACTTCTATTCAACATTATTCTGGAAGCCCTAGCCAGTACAGTAGGGCATGAATGAGAAATAAAAGACATACAAATTACAGGGGAAGAAGCAAAACTATCTTTATTTGTTGATAACATGATCATCTGTATAGAAAATCCTAAGGAATCCACCAAAAAACTACTAGAACAAATAAGTGAATTTAGCATGGCATAGACTATAAAGTCAGTATACAGATATCAAATATATATGTGTGTGTTTGTGTATGTGTATGTGTGTGTGTGTATTTTTTTTTGAGATGGAGTCTTACTCTGTTGCCCAGGCTGGAGTGTAGTGGTGTGGTATCAGTTCACTGCAACCTCCCCCTCCTGGATTCAAGCAATTACCCTACCTCATCCTCCCTAGCAGCTGAGATTACAGACGTGTGTTACCACACCCAGCCAATTTTTGTGTTTTAGTAGAGACAGAGTTTTACCATGTTGTCACTCCTGACCTCAAGCAATCCATCTGCCTCGGTCTCCCAAAGTATTGGGATTACAAGCGTGAGCCACTACGCCCAGCCAAATGTGTGTGAATATAAATATACATATATTTGAAATGGAGTCTCACTATACTGCCCAGCCGGAGTGCAGTGGCTGTTCATAGGCTTGATCATAGAGCACTGCAGCCTCAAACTCCTGGCCAGGCCCAGTGGCTCATGCCTGTAATCTCAACACTTTGGCAGGTTAAGGTGGGTGGATCCCTTGAGTCCAGAAGTTAAAGACTAGCCTGGGGCCAAGCGCAGTGGCTCAGGCCTGTAATCCCAGCACTTTGGGAGGCTGAGGCGAGCGTGTCACCTGAGGTCAGGAATTTGAGACCAGCCTGGCCAACGTGGTGAAACCCAGTCTCTACTAAAAACACAAAAATTAGTTGGGCTTGGTGACGGGAGCCTGGTATTCGCAGCTACTTGGGAGGCTGAGGCAGGAGAATCTCTTTAACCTGGGAGGCAGAGGTTGCAGGAAGCTGAGATTTCACCATTACACTCCAGCTTGGGAAACTTCGTCTCCAAAAAAAAAAAAGAGTAGCCTGAGCAACATGACGAAACCCTGTCTCTACAAACAAATGTTAGTCAGATATGGTGACAGGTGCCTGTAGTCCCAGCTACTCAAGAGGCTGAGGTGGGAGGATCGCTTGAACCTGGGAGGTCGAGGCTGTAGTGAGCTATGATGCGCCACTGCACTCCAGCCTGGGCGGAAGAGCAAGATCCTGTTTCAAAAAGCAAAATCAAGGACGGGCATGGTGGCTCACGCCTATAATCCTAGCACTTTGGGAGGCTGAGGCAGGCGGATCACTTGAGGTTAGGAGTTTGAGACCAGCTTGGCCAACATGGTGAAACCCTGTCTCCACCAAAAAAAAATACAAAAATTAGCTGGATGTGGTGGCATGCGCCTGTAACCCCACCTACTCAGAAGGCTGAGGTAGGAGAATCGTTTGAACCCTGGAGTTGGAGGTTGCAGTAAACAAGACTGTCTCAAAAAAAAACAAAAAAAATACTTTGGGGTTGTGTATAGGTAAGTAAAACAAACATTGATAGTTATTGAAGGTGGATGATGACTACT